CCCCCCCCGAACAAGTACCCCATCTTCTTCTTCGGCACCCATGAGACGTAAGCGCTGCCTCGCTCCCCGCTCCGGGCTGTGCCCCGTGGCTGCCCCGGCCTCACCTCTGCTTTGTTTCTCTCCAGTGCCTTCTTGGGCCCTAAAGATCTCTTCCCTTATGAGAAATATAAAGACAAATATGGGAAGCCAAACAAGAGGAAAGGCTTCAACGAGGGCCTGTGGGAAATCCAGAACAACCCCCACGCCAGTTACAGTGCCCCCCCGGTGAGTGCGGCGCCTCCTTCCCTCCGAGTCGCTCTCCTCCTCTCTCTGCTTCTCACTGCTGCCGTGCCGATGTGCTTCCAGCTCCCCGACTGGCTTCCTCAGGGCTGCAGTAGCTTCCCTTCCCTGCCCTCTCCCTTCCTCCTCCTCCTCTGGAGGAAGACGCCTTTGCCCCAGCTTTGAGGTGGATCCGGGGTTGTGCTTTGCGCTGCTTGCCCAAACCGTGGAGGAGCTCGTTGTCAGAGTGAGAACTTGAGGCTTTGCTCAGCTCACGGCTCTGGACCTGCGTGTGAACTGTTGGGCAGTGCCCCCTCTTCATCCATTTCTGAGGTCCTGAGCCAAAAGCCACTGGCCCGCTCCTTCAGTGAGCTTCAGAGCAGGCCAGGAGATGGCACTTTGCTGTCAGCTGCTTGTGTGGGCATTTCATACCCATACTTGTGTGGTACGATGTCTTGTATAGTGATCTTCAGAGGAGGCATCCAAAGCAGCTTCCTAGGCAGTTGGTCTGGAGAGGCAAAGGAAGGTTTATAAGGTGAGCTACAAGGACGAGGTGGTCTAGAGGCAGTCAGGCTCTGGAGATGAGCCCCTTGGTGGTGCTGCTGCCAGTGCAGGACACAGGACGTGGTCTGAGTAGCTGCAGGAGATGGTCGGGCCCAAGGCTGCAGATGTAGGGGAAGGTGAGAGCACGGAGATGCCTGAAAAGCTGGAGAACACCTTCAGCTGGGCGGGAGGTTGGTTGGCAGCACTTGGCTTTGTGCAGGGGCTCCACGCTGAACTCCACAAGAAGCCTGTTGGTGAGAGACCTGCTGTGATGGAGGGACCGTGGTGACACCAGTGGCCCCAGCAAGCCTGAGGGCTCACCAACGTCAGCTGCATCTTGAGGCCAAACTGCTTGGAGAAGCGTAAGAAGAGACTGATGGAGAGGTCTTTCTTGGGTTTGGGACCTATATGAAACGAGGTGCCAGGAACAGTCAAGGACAAGGAGAGGCTTTCCAGCAGGAAGGCTCCAGTGCTGGAAGAATCCTGGCTTAGGGAACACCAGTCCTGCCATGCACAAAGACAGTGAATCAGTCTGGAAGATGGGAGCTTGGATGCGATGTCCTTGCATGAGGAACCTCCTTGATGGGCTGGTGAGAAGCCAGGAGACCTTTCCTACATGGGATTGAGGGAACAGGACACGGGAGATGCCAACCGGGAAGAACGTTGGTCACCATGCTGGACTTCTCATGTGGACCTTTCCGGTGGGGAAGGGGTGTGAAGTGCTTTGGGGTGAAGCCACCTGAGAAGGAAGAGGGAAACATTGGAGGCACCACGAGGGCAGTGGAGGGCTGGGGTCTGCTTGCCCAGGAGGGGTTGTCAGGGTGAGGTTTCTGCAGGGTCTTTGGCAGAGCACAGGGAGGGCAGCGAGTGGGAGCCGAGCTGGGGATCAGGGGGAAGGTGTTGCTGGTGGTCTCAGGCTGCTGTGTGAGGGGTCTGGTAAAGAGGGTGCAGGAGGGGCTTGACTCAGTGTCTCATTGAAGGGCTGACAGTGCTGCCCAGAGCCATGCTGAAGGGTTCTGTGCCACACACCTCTGCTCACACCCCTCTGCTCCACGCTGCCATCCATCGCTCGCCACCCTCCTGCACCCCTTCTCCTCTTCCCCCATGGGTGTGCAGCCCCTCCAGGCCATAACCCACCTCTTGTCCCCACTGTCTGTAGCCTGCCAGCTCCTCTGACAGCGACGTGCCCGAGAACGACGCGATGGGGGGAAGCGATGCTGGTGATGATGAGGAAGATGCTGCCATGGCTGGAGTCACCATGGAGAAGATGGAAAGTGATGAGGACTCGGACCAAGGCAGTGACCACAGCGGGCTCAAGCGGAAATCGCTGCCTATGAAGGTGAGTGTGGGCTGAGGTGGTTCCACGCAGTGGGGCCAAGAGGGTGTCCTGGTGCTTGGGTCCACCACTGAGCTTCCATCCACCAAGCAGCATGTCAAACCCACCGTGGCAGGAGGTGGTGATGGAACCAACTCCGTCGGGATTCTCCCATGGGAAATGGGGTTCAGTGGCTGTCTCCTGTTGTCTGGGAGGTGGTGGGATGGCCAAGCCCTGGTGCAGTTTGCATCCTAGAGGAGAAGCCAGATCTCTCCTGAGTGTACGTGGCAGGTCTTGCAGGGCCAGTTGGGAAGAGCTGGGCCATCCCCTTCCCTGCCTTTCTGCTGTGGGTGGAGGGGAATGAGCTTCTCTCACATTGTTGCTCCTCACATACCAGATGCCAGTGGCAAAACGGCCTCGGAAATCCTCCAGTGACCTGGATCAGGGCAGCCCCTCTGGGACAGAAGAGGAGAACTCGGAATCGTCTTCTGAGTCGGAAAAGAACAGTGACCAGGTGAGAGGAGTTTGGGATGTGCTGGCAGGGTGGTGGGGAAAGGGCTGGAGCATGGCTTGAAGGACCCTCACTGGCTTCTGAAAGCATTGTGAGACTCTTCCCTGCTTTTTCCCATGTTTTCCTCCAGGACTTCACTCCTGAAAAGAAGCCAGTGGCCAGGGCTCCACGGAGGATGCCAGCAGTGGGGAGGAAGAAGAAGGTAAAAGACCCTGAGTCTGTGGTGCTGCATGAGGGGGACTGGAGAAATGCTGAAGGTCTTTGGGGTCTGCACTGCCTGGAGGGGGGGTGCAGGGCTCTGGATGGAGGCTCAGTGCTGGGAGGGACCTCGTGGGTGCCTCAGTGGCCTGTTTGCACCCTGTGCTGCTGTGCCTCGGGTCCAACCCCACTCTGTGCTTGCAGAAAGTGGAGTCCGGCTCCGACTCAGACTCCAAAGCGGACTCAGATTCAGAACTGGGGAACGCGACTATGAACATGCCCAAGTCAGACTCCAACTCGGATTCAGACTCGGACGTGTCTGTGAAGAAGGCTCCACGGGGCAGGAAGCCAGGTAACACTGAGGAGGCTGCTTCTACCACTGCTGGGTCCTCGGGGGACTGGAGAGATGTGAGGCTCTGGGGGCTCCTGAAGCTCTGGGGGCTCCTGCTGCTTGCCAACACCTTCCAGCCCATCTCAACAGCCCTCTGCCCCCCAAATTCGGGGCTGTTTGTTATTAACAGAGGGACAACCAGGGCTCCTGCTGA